CCCTCTGGCCGCCACGCACCCCCGCCACTCTTCCCCCCTTTACTGCCACTAGTATGAACGTATTTGCAGTCAGTCACGATTAAACATTGATTTCTTCCTCTGACGAGGATTTATTGTCCATGCTGCATCGTTTCTCCATCTCCGACCTCCAGACTCTGCATATCTTGGCATTCTCCACATAGCTGAGCCAATAAAGCTCTCGGTGGTTAATGATTAGATATTTGCACTTATGGAGCCTCATTTATTGGGCCATCTACAGTTTATTATCTGGGGAAACGGGTTCATCTATAAACTATGAATGTAAACAGATGGGGAGTCTTTAAGGGCCAGGCCACCTGAGGTGATTTCTGCATTAGTGGAGCCTGCTGGGGAACATCAGCGCCTGGCTTTCTATACCCCTCTATGGAAAATTCCAGATCAAAAACAAGGTTTTTAAAGTGTTTAAGTGCAAAAAAAAAAAAAGGAAAAGCCAACATGTTTTTTGGCAGGATAGTCAGCAGATCATTGATCTCAGTTGTCTTGACTACAGGACACCCTAGGTGGACAAGACTGGAGGTGTTCTGCAGTCCTGTTTTTAAACCACTCTGAGCAGGTAAAACAAATTAACCTTGCAGTGGAGGATCTCTGGTACTCTCCCGATTCTCAGATGAACCTGGAGGCTAGACCAGTCCCCAGTCTCTTCTCCCGCAGGCTCTGGCAGTCTAAGGTGCCATTACATCATGACATCAACTGGCTTCCATTAGATGCAAGGACACAGGGGGACATTTCACAGAGGTGAATGCTGACTGCCACAGGACCACGTGAAAAATCTCTCCCCACTGCAAGGGTTAATTTGTTTACATGCCCGGAGTTCTTCTTTAAACATGACACCAACAACTCCATCTATAACAGCACAATGAGCGTTGTCAACCCACAACAGGAAATGTGTTAATGGCAGGATCACCAGGTGAAAAAAAAAAATCCTGAAGAGAAAACTAATGCAGTCATCACTTCCAAGGACTGGAAAGCTGCAATTTAGGACAATTTGTGTTTTGGGGTTTGGATACACTTTAAGGCTTCAAAGAGGACCTGTCCAGATAACCCTCCTGTACACGAGGAGTGAAGGTGAAGCTTGTAGAGTGGCAGTGGCTGGAGGAAGGAGATTTTTGCATTGGGCAGGAGAGACTCTATATTGGTCAGAGAGGGTTTGTTCATTGACAAATTAAAAAGAGTCATCCTCTGGATGGACGTCACCATTACCACATTAGATTGGCTCTCTTGCTTTTCTGTGGCCGCTGCGCCACACGCAGGGCGATCTGGAAGAATCAGAGAGAGAGAGAGAGTCTGGAGCGTCTCAGCAATTCACGGCCTGTCTGTGCTGCTCTTCCTGAGCAACGCACAACACACCCAGCCAGGTGCTGGCTCTGCGCCTATTCTACCCGTCATGGCTGCCAAAAGGAACTGGCCCAACAACCCTACCTGCTCATCAAGAAGGGATTAAAGTCACCCGGCAAGAGATCTGTTAAAGGAAACTCGTTTTGTTAAATCGGGCAAATACATTCCAGGTTCAGCACAAAAAGAGGTGCAAAGTCTTAAAGGTCATGTCCTTTAGAAGACAGCCACAGAGTAGACAGGCCTGTCCCCTGCCAGCATGCTGCAGAGAACCACCCTTGTTCTGTGTGGAAGCTGGGGTCTCTGGAGAGTTCTGACACACCCTTGCTGTGTCAGCTCTTCAATCAGTAGGGACATCTTGGATTGCATGCTGGCAGGGCACAAGCTTTTCTACTCAGGCCGAGTTCTACAGAAAGACTGCACCCACACAGGACTTAACACCCCACCCCCTCACTGGCAAGACCATGCAGGACCATATAGGACTTCTATCCATTACACACAATGCAGTCTGTTCCACGGCACAATCTAATGTGATGGTTGTAAACCAACTTGTAACCTGGCGATACAAACGCCTACAGATAACATCCGGCGACCACTCACCTTCTCCGTACTTATCTGTGTGTTGGAAAGCTTGCACCAGTCGTAGCGTTTCATCTACAGAGCGACCGACGGGCAGGTCGTTAATGGTGATCTGTCGCAGGATCCCCTTCTCGTCTATGATGAAGAGCCCCCTGCAGAAATCAGGGCACACTGTTACATCATCAATGCTTCTCAAATCCCTGCACACCCAATTCTCAGCAGTGCTGGGCAAACTATGGAGCTCTGGGCGCAGGACTACAACTCCCAGCATGCTGTGCAGTGCAAGTTACCCAAGTATTGCCCCATACGCCCTGCACCATGAGCAGAGCCCTATTTCCAGGTGCGAATATTCATATTGTGCTGGAGGACTTTCTGACCAGTGACAAATAACTACAGCGCTCTATAATTACCGGAATGAGATTTGGTCATCGTTAAGGACGCCGTAATCTGTAGCGATTGTGCGGCGGATGTCTGAGACGAGGGGGATCTTCATGGGACCCAAACCGCCGTCCTTCCTGGATTGGCTGGTCCTGCGGAAGAAAGATCTCAGCTTGACCAGATGTATTATGAGAAGATTACTTTTCCGACCAACAAGAGAGAACATCAGAAAATAAAAGCCAAGCACCCAAAAATCCAACAAATTCCCTTCCTGTCCTCATCAGAATCAGACTCAGGAAATGCCACTTTGATCCATGTAAAATGCTGCTTTTTTTTGGTGTGGGGGGGGCGGGTTGGTGTTTAATTGGAATTCCATTGTGTGGCATTTTGCACATGCTTCGATGTTGACAAAAAAATTCCTCTAGTTAACCCTTTCAATGTTCCAAATACCAGCGGAATTACATGGGTCATGTGATCACTGGCTGTAACCATGATCATGTGATCAGTGACCACATAGTCACCGTAAAGGGTTGCATGAGCTGTGTGCATGCACTTCTAGCATAGAGGGTTTCCAGGAGTATGCATACATGTGGTAAAGCCCACCGCCATGCTCCCTCATGTTTGCATACAGCTGGCGATAAGGGGATTAAAGTCTAATTGCATTTTCAGTTTAAAATTAGCTAAATACATTCCAGGTTAATCAATACAAAAAGTTTTACAGTTTTTACAGCCCGAGTGGAAAAGCCTATCCCCTGCCATGTGTGGAATCAGTGGTCTCTCTGCAGAGGCCTGACATCCCCCCTGCAGTCAGAGGCAGAGCTCTCCCAACTGGCAAAGCTCAGGCTCCCCCCTTGGCTAGAGGGCTCTGGTCCAAAATGCCCACATGGAAAGGAATGGAGTCTGAATTCTGGCAGGGAGGTCTCTATGTCGGGCGCATCAAGACCTAAAAGACGGGAGGTGACCCTGTCCACCAGGCTCCATATATATCCAACCACCACTGTGGACTGACCCTTTAATAGCAGAGTATCCGGTAACAGCGCTTGCAATAAACTGCACCAACTAGTATCAATCACCCCTCTGTACTGCCCCTGGTGGACATAAAGCAGATAATACACAGTAATGGCGGCCAGATCAGGGGCGGTCCTTCTAGAGGCAAGCTATGAACTCTTATAAACTCACTTTATAATACATGGGAGCAATTGGAGACTTTCCCCAACACATTGAAAAATTTGTCAGCAACAACAATTGCTTCCATTGCGTAGACGTTCTCATAACCAGATCTATACGTCCCTATTCTCAACGCATCCTGGAAATGCACGGCTCCTTTATTCTGGAATCCCCAGACATGGCTCCACTGCACCCCAGGAAGCCCTACAAAACCAGCCAAGGGTACAAAGATCGCTCCGGGCCCCGTCAACTCCCATAAACCTGTGAGACAATATGGAGCCAAACTCTGCCAGTACGTGATGCTTCCACAACTTTACTGAAAACCGGACATGAATACGCCACATGCTGTCTGCTTCTGTCATGTTTCACCCCCCAGTGGTTTTTGCTTTCCACTTGTTTAAAAAGTTACAGAAGCATCACAGACAAGAATGGTGCATTGCGGCTCTATATGGTTTCTCTTTATTCTGGATCAGGTTCAGATGCAAAGATTTCCAATGTGTTAGAATTTGTGTGCCGATGTTTGTATGCCTCAAATACAAGCCCGACTGACGCAATGCGCCAATCACATTGCTCGCCATTAGGTGGCGTATGGTCAGTCCTGCTGGATGAACCCAACACAGAATACTTTGCCTGCTATTCCCCAAGTGGACAGATACAGGTCACAGCAGACATACCATGCCAGGTGACAGAAGTGAGAGTCCACCGAGGCCGCAATGACTTCGGTGTTTAACTTCTTGAACTCTTCCACACGGTCACTGAACGCAATGATCTCCGTGGGGCAGACAAATGTGAAATCCAGAGGATAAAAGAAGAAGACGACATACTTTCCTGCAGGGGACATAAACCAGATGATTACATTGAAACAAAAACGTATCAGAACAAAACAAAAAAAAACAAAAAACGGTATCAGAAATAAAATGTATCGTTTTCTTCCAGGGACACAGAATGGAACATTCTTCCCTCCGAGTTCCACACTGAGCCCCATTCAGACTCCGCACCCACCTCTGTAGTCGGAGAGTTTAAGATCTTTGAACTGTCCATCTTGCATCACAGCCGTGGCAGTGAAGTCCGGCGCAAGCTTTCCGATACGTGCGTTTCCAGCAGACATGGTGCGTCGGTCTAGAAGGAGGAAAGAAAATCCGGATTGATGTGGAAATTAGATTTCAGCAGAACAAAAACAGGAGACAGTCTGGCCTATATTAACAACCACTTATAAAGCCATCCACAACTCCGCCCCCAGCTATATCTCCAACCTCATCTCCAAGTATCACCCTAACCGTCCCCTCCGCTTCTCCCAAGACCTCCTTCTTTCCAGCTCCCTCGTCAACTCCTCCCATGCTCGCCTCCAGGACTTCACTAGTCTCTCCCATCCTATGGAACTCTACCCCAACCTGTCCGTCTATCTCCCACTCAGACTGCCCTTTAGGCAATCCCTTAAGACTCATCTCTTCAGGGAAGCCGATCCCACCTCAACCTAACCATTCATCCCCACACAGCTCCCTCCTCATGTATCACCGGCCCCTCCCTTTTAGATTGCAAGCCCTCAGGGGCAGGGCCCTCATTACCATCTTGTCTTGAATTGTATTGTGAGTGTAATGTCTAACTTGTATTGTAAAGCGCTGCGCAAACTGTTGGCGCTCCATAAATCCTATAATAGTAATAAGTGGAAGTTTCAGGATGAATTTAATGCTCTTAAAGGCAAAATGCGCACGGCAGTTACTTTTTTTTTTAGTTTATACCAGTAATAGAAATTAGAAGCAGACGATTAGCACCGGAATACACTGCGCCACAGAGGGCAATGCACAATGGACCACATTACAACATGCGGTGTGCAGATTATAAGGAGGTCATGTGCATTTGTCAGATGTAGTAAATGGGATTATAATGAATGAGCTGCCTCAATACACTACAGATCACTACAAATGTGAATACAGCTGCTCCTTCATTGTCCAATCAGCATGCTGGGGGCGTGTTTTTGACCAAGCTCCAGTGGTGGTCCAAGACTTCTGGAAGGCAGCTATCTCCCATATATGCATTTAGCTGCAGGTTAGGTCAAAGAATTCCAGACTGATGACCAGAACTTGGACCACAAGCTGCTCGATGGAGACGAGTGCTTCGCTGCCGTGTCAGCACCCCACCTCTAAAATTAAGAGTTCTAGATCGCCTGCAGTGAAAGTGACATTGCTTTCAGAGAAAGACCCTTCACAGAAACATGTGGCCGAAGAGATACGATGATCAGAGTCCGTGGTATTCTGAGCCGCCAAACCATTCCCATGCGGCTGGTCCGGAGGTGGTGCGTGTGAAGATGCTCTCTGGTCTCCACCACTTCATATGCCATTAAAGAAAGTATCCCCTGTACATAGACCGACCACCTAACCCACCCCACTGGGAGAGATCAAAAATCGGCCACAGCTGTCAGTCGTCGTGGTCACATTTTGTATTTGGAGATGTTGCAACTGCAGCCCACTGGGAGATGCCACAAGGTGCCTCCATAGATCTTCCATGTGTACACCAGGGCCCTCCATGCTGTGCCACCCCATGAGGGATTCTACGATGCACCAGCACCGCTTTTCATGTGTCCCTCATGATACAAACCATCTCATCCTTTCTGTAGGACAAAATGACATGTAACCAGGATCAAACTGCTGGACACAGGACATCAAATTTGGGTAAGAGGGCAAGCGCTATGAAAATTTATGTAACATTCCCGTTCTCAGCATTCCCGTTGCAGCAACAAGCACGGTACAAAGGATGTCCGACGTACTGATGGAACTTTGGTACCCAGGCACTCTGTAGACCCCTTTTTCCCCCCTAGAACAAGAAAATGTTCCGTTCTAAACTTCCCGATAATGGGATTTCTATGAATCTTCCAGGACAGCAGGCCTACTTCAGGTTGCCGGCCTGGAAGATGATTGGAGAAAGCCATTTTTAGATGTGAGGGTTCAGCACAAGTGTTTTCTGCAGAAGGTGCAGATCCTCCAACACTGATTAACTTGGAACTCATTTACCTTTACACAGCAAGAAGATCAAACCTGCCTCCCTGGATTCCAAAGGACAACACGAGGGAGCAGCCCTGACCGGGACAAAACGAGTACAGGCAAGGAGAGAAGGCCCAGCGCTGCACACAGGGGTTAAAGGTCAAAGAACATGGGAAGCTCATCTACCATAGAGGAATGCAGAGGCCTGGTTATGGGAGACGAGTGTGTTAAAGGATAACCCTGTACTTCTAAGAACAGTCTCCCGCTACATCCCCCGGGGGAAACCGGGCCCACCCTCAACCCCCTCTGCCCAAGGGGGAAACCGGGCCCACCCTCAACCCCCTCTGCCCAAGGGGGAAACCGGGCCCACCCTCAACCCCCTCTGCCCAAGGGGGAAACCGGGATGTGGTTAGTGATAGATTCACCTGCAATGAATGGGACATTCACCGTTTGTAAATATGCAGCAATGCATTTCTACTTCCAGGGGAAGAGGCCTTCACAGCAACATAGCTCATAGCACCGGAGTATCCTCCCAAATCTCATCAGAACAGATGACTGGAAAAGCTACAAAAAGGTTCTTGAACATAAGTCCAGTGCAATGTGACTTCGTTGTACCATCACCTGGATAAATGAAACCCTCCAGACATCCTGTTCACATTCTCCTAGTCTTCATCTGCAATAGAACTGCAGACCCAGACTAAACAAGGACAGCTCCAGGGCCAGGCGACAAATCACTTCTCCTGTGCACTGCACTCACGTAGTCACTGGAGATCACACACTGTTATAAGGTCAGCCTCCGCAGAGAACAGATATATACCGTGTTTCCCCGAAAATAAGACAGACCCTGTCTTGTATTTTTTTGGCTCACAAAAAACACACTAGGTCTTATTTTCGGGGGAAGGTTTTTTTTTTTTTAATGTACAACAATCCACACTTATTCAATTAGAAAAGTCTACATGTATTCATGTACAAAAATATGGTGATCAGGGCAATCAGGGGCGCCGTACCTTTCCAAGAGCAATTTGCTAACCAATCGCTGGCCACAATGAATGAATCGCACTTTTACTATCAGTTCCTCACAGGCGGAGCGCATTTGGTATGACTCCGCCTGTGACAGGAGGCGGCGCTATAGAGGAGGCGTCGGCTTATGCGGCTCTGCTCCCTCCGCTGCTGTCTCGCTTCCTCTAGCGCCGGCTTCGTTGGCACCGCTGATTCTCTCCCGCGGCTCTTCAAGTTCCCCCTTATGCCACCACCGGCCCCGGGAATGGTCACAACTAGGTCTTATTTTTGGGGTAGGTGTTATATTCAGGGAAACAGGGTAGAAAACAAAATGTGCAGAACTCCACCTATCCTTGTGTGATATTTTTCAAATGCAGTTCAGCCTCTGGTCACATGACTCCACACCATTAATACTCCTGTGTGTTATGAAAATTTCCCCAGTGGGTCAGATTGTGCAAAATATAACCCGATGGGTGTTTTAACCCTTTCCTACTCCGAGGCATAGAGAAAAAAAAAACAAAAGG